GGGGCAGACTTGATGATCTGCTCAGGTCCCTTCTGACCCTACTAACTATGAAACTACAATAAACTACATACCACAATAATATTCTCAGCCAAGTACCAAAATGCTCCTGATGAAGAATGCCTTGCATTTGAAAACTTGTCTAATTCTATCCCAGTTGGTCCAATAAAAGATATCATCCTACAAAAATGCTTGCCTCTCACAAGCTTACAAAACACATTACAAATATGTATGCTGGGCATTTTTTTTAAAAAGTAGTTATCTTATGATAAGCACAGAGAATAAACTCCTGCCATGGTTACAACAGGTTCCTCCCAGACAAATTGAAACACTCTGCTAGAAAGTGTAAGGAAAAGTGCAGTAAGAATGGAAGAGAGTGAAGCCCTATTATCAAGAGACTGGGCAAAGCTAGAAGCAATGCCCTAGCATTATAGCAATGTTTCTACAAGATGGTATCTTCACATTCTTTGCCCTTGATCCATTCTTCACAAAGACTACATTCACCTAATTAGAAACAATGGTACCTCTCTCAGTAGCAGACAGTCAGATTACTTTTCAAAAAGAAATAGAATATATAATAGAGCTGGATCCTGTGCTACTGCACAGGTATAACACCAGAATAACTTGACTCAGCTAATAAGCATCAATCAAGTTACAATAATGCAAATGAAAAGATTTCTACCATCTATAATTCTATACCTTAGCATCTGACAAAGTAGCTACAATAGCTCATGCGTCTTTGAACATGTTAGTCCATACGGTGCCACTCTGCCCTGGCTTCTGCCTCACTTTAGACTAAGAGGGCTAACTACCTCTCTCTAAGGAAAAAAACGTTTTATAGTCCACACAGTAAGAACCTCCCCTTCTGTCTCTCAATAAATTCTTATGTTTTTTTCCTCTCTCTCTCTCTCTCTTCCCTCAGGTACACATGATGGGTCCATTGACAGCTGTAAAGGTGATTCAGGAGGACCTCTGGTCTGTTTTGATTCAAATAATGTGGCCTATGTGTGGGGTGTTGTGAGCTGGGGTGAAAACTGTGGAGTGGCTGGCTACCCTGGTGTTTATACAAAGGTGGCAAGTTATTTTGACTGGATTAGCCATCAGGTGGGGAGGGCCCTCATTTCTAAATATAATGTGTGAAGCTTTGGAAATGAAGTGCTCCATTGTTACCACCTACACACAAAAATGAAAATTCAGTTCTATGTTATGATCAAAAGTTGTCACGTAATAACTCCTAAAACAAATGTTTAACAAGCACATTGTGATAATGCAATTAGCCTCCTATAAATGTTGTGATTTGTGTGGAAATAGTGTTTTGTACTGTAATTAATTGCCTGCAAGACTCACTAAAAATGCATGCTTATTAGAAGGAAATTAAAATGTGTGGTGCTTTGCAAGTGTTATCATTTTATACTGTGTCTGCATTGAGATTTCCTGTCAGTTTAAAATGGAAAATGGAAATTCACACTGAAAGTAAAGTGACTACAGAAACACCATTCAAACTTGGCAGAAATTATAGTGAGGAACTCCTGTCATGTCACACAGACATTACAGAACTTGAGGGAATGCTCAAAGCCCTAAAACAACAGATCCTCAAAATAACATGGTCCTACCACACCAAGTACAAAGGAATGAAGCCACATAAGGCATCTGCAAAGTAGGCTA